AAGCAGTGGTATCAACGCAGAGTACTAAACTTTTTTCTGAGTACGTCACAAAAGCCATTGCCACAGAAGTCATAGAAGTCACAAACACAGTATCCCACTATAGTAACGCGCTAAGGCCGTCTGTTTTTTTGTGTGTATGTCTGTGTGAAAATCTGTCTGTCACGAAATTCATAGAGGAAGCTGCAACCAAGCTATCGGACTGCAATTTTGCGTAACATACCGTGCCAGCGTGTAGGCTCACCATGCGCAAGGACGAGCCGGTTCGATAAGCGGGTCCCTCAAAATTTGCTCGTCAAACGGGTCCACGCGCCTTTTGGCACGCAAAACTGGGTCGCTAATTCGCATTTTTGCAAAGTTATGATTTGCCTGACAAGTAACTCTAAGCGCCCCAAAAAGTGCTCAAAAAGTTTGGTTTTTTGCATAAACAGCGCCAAAAAGCGATGAACGCGTAAATAGTCGATTTGGCAAGGTTTTATTTGGAAAAACTGAAAAGATTTTTGCACTGAAATGTAGCCCAAAATGAATATTATCCTTATACGATTATCAAACTAAAATAAATTCAGTAATCCTTTCAAATTTGCATTTGTTTTCCTTGCAACAAAGTTTTTTTTCTCAGATTACCGATCTTACATGGAGATGCTTCATGAATGAACAGTTGTTTACGATTCATTTGTGACGCTCAGCATTGCGTGGTGAGTTTCAAAGCCATTCTCATTGAACATGAGAAAGGCATATGGATAGGGGGGACAGTGCGAACCTCCGCGAAGTAGAGGTGACGCACTGGTACATATATATACCATCTGCAGCTAAATCCGACAGTCACCTAGTAAATTCTCTTTTCCTTATGTTCCCTTGGTTCTAATAGAAGATAGCTTTTGCAATAGCAATTCTGGAACTAATTCTAAACTTTCAGTTGTGCAGTAAGGCTACAATTGCCTTTGATCCTAAGCATGAGAGACTGAAGCTATAAAAGATTTTTTAATGCTTTTTCTTACAAGATGCAAGTGCATTTAGTGCTCTTCACGAAATAAAACTTTGCGCGAATGAAAAAAATTTTAACGGAAGGCTTCCGCCAGAGTGCAGAAGCCACGCCAGCGCTGCGCCGGCGCCGAGCCAGCGCCGAGCTGTCCCGTTTGTTCAGGGGGGGGGGGGGGTGGCTAGACGACACTGTGCGGGCAAGGGCTACCAGAGCTTCTGGCAAATCCGATCAATAGTCGGTCCATTTACCTAGCGGAGAACTAGGTCAGCTAGCCACGCCCCAACAAACTGCATATGTATCGATCGAAACAGCTCGGGAAAGCTCGGCGCTGGCGTGGCTTCGATACTCTGGCGGGAGCCAAATGTCCAGAGTTTGCGCTTTTCAGTGCGATGCAAAAGCTCACCTGAATATGAGGCTGTTTAAAAGTACAAGGCCGTTTGTTTTTCTTTTTTTTTTGATTTCCAACACTTTTACTGAGGTTATAAAGAGCAAGAAACTCTTTCAAATATCATTTTTGATTATTATAATAGTATCAAAACCTGTCTAAATTACATAAAAAATCTTTCTGACATAAAAATTCTACTGCACATATTCATAGAACAAAAAGAATCGTTTCATTATAGAGTGACTGAATGGGGACTTGCAATTGCACTCAAATTCTGCTATATGTGCTATTACAAGCAGTCAGACTCTCACCTGAGCGCAACTTTTCTCGCAAAAGATGCGCCGGATATTAGAAAACGCCATTTGCACGTTGAAATATTTGACTCACTTTGCCAAGAAGAGAAAACCTCAAATTTCTAAATCAGAAAATGGAGCATCTTTGGATGCAAACTGGTCAGTATTTCACACTTTTTTAAGAAACTTTTTACCACATATAGCGTTCCAAAATCGATACTCAAAATCATCAAAGCAGCAGTAATAGGCGCACAGCAATTACAGATGAGCTCTTCAGCTGTAATTGCCCTGCGACCATCCTGTAGAAACAGGCCTATTTTTGAGACAACCGTGTATCTGGGAGGCGTTCGTGGGCTACTTTTCGAGATAGGCTGAACATTGTTCTTGCAGCAAAACTTGCACCTCACAAACAGCCCTAAGTTATAGCAGTTTGAGGAAAATCTTCCAAGAGTTCAAGCACTTCTTAACCTATAATTAACGCCAGTACTCCGCTTAGAATTGTCACCTTCAGTCACGATACTTGTACCTCCCTGATGGTCATTGACGACCAATGTATAATATGATAGTCTAAATAAATTTCTCGAGAACTTTCGGGAATTTCATTTTGCGAGTAATTTTTCCATGCTCGCTTAGATGATTAAAAATTTTGCTCTTGTCCAGGCATTATGTTCTTTGATATCGAAGAGAGGACAACTTGCACAAAAGAGAAAAAACACAGTTCATTATTACGAATCCTACAACTTCAGTGGATTATATGAATTACGAGCATCACACACTACATCAACTCATTCTTTACAAACGCAGTGCAGCTTTCATCAAACTTTTCTAACCTTCTAATCGCAAGTTCGCTTCAATCCATCTTTTTCAGTATATCCATGTCTTGCAAAGGAGCTCAACCAGTCATAAACGCTGTGCTGTCACTTTTCTCTCGTGTACCAGTATAAACAAACTCAAAAATTAATCATAATTTTTCAGAGCACACTCATATTGCTGAAAACAACTATGAATTTCCTGTTTTTCTTTTTCTTCCTGGGAGCTTTCTTAGGGCTAACGAGTGCTAGTGATTGGACGGCAGAAGAAAAACAACGTTTGTAAGGCTGAAATTACGTTTTTTGATGACCACCAAAAATGTTGTGTTTTCAGCGAACGATGTATGAAGAAATGTTTGGCAAACAAGGTGTTTGCCAAACATAAACAGATATGCGAAAAGAGGTGTATGTGCTTCGTATTTCATCAGTGCCATTGAATGAAACGAGGACTTTTCCTCATTGCCTGTTTCTTCTTGTGATAAGATGAAATAAAGCATTGTGCAGTGTGTTTGCAGAGAAATTCATCGTAAAATAGTTTGCTAAGAGAGTGTGATATTCTCTAAGTACCTTCACTCTGCAACAAAGTCAGTCATTTGTCAGCAGCTATGTTTAATATCAGATCAAGCGAAAAATCCTCCTTGCGCAGTTTAGCGGAGAACGCATTGAACTAAAATTGCTAAAGAGAAGATTATTTCAACCGTAAAAGTTCTCTTATTCTTTGTATCTCTTATTCGTTGTGTAAACAACGTTTCCAATTTTAATTCATGAGTGTCTTCACAGTGACACGTCCTGTCATGACCATGTTACCGTGAAGAGTTCTATCTAGCTTCTTTGGAAAAGTTGAGGGAAACAGCGCGTCATTTTCTTCCCATTTGTTGTTCCATTATGACCATAGAAGCTTATTATCTGAAAAATCAAAACGGCACTCGTGGCAGCAATCGCCGTCATAAGACCCAAGAGACAGAATGGAGTTTCCTAAAAAACAGATTGATCAGTTGTTAATTTTTGACTTCCGAGATACATGCCTTGAAGCAGTATAGAGGAAGAAGATGCTTGCTTTAATCGTCTTCATCTGCATATTTTGGTGTTTTTGCGCAGTGTAAACTTACTGTAAGCAGCAACACCCACAAACTAATCTACATATCTTCACTGTTCATGGTCTGCTGCCTTAAGTTAACGAGGAGGTGCGGCTGGGTATAGCAAGATGGCCCAAACTCAACCAATTAGTCCAACCACAGATCGTTTTAAATTCTCCTGTTAGGATTCGTTCCCATTTGTCTGTCAAGGCGGACCAGAGTTTCCAGCGTTTAAAAACCACTAATGTCATCTAAAAGTAGCGAGATCTTGACATAGTTCGAGCGCCTTACGGCTATCTAAAAAGTGGCGTAAAAATACTAGGTCCACCCGAAAGTAGTTTCGCATTTTTGAGACGGGAGCCACAGTTCGCGTAACAAAGGTTTTTGGGAGATCTTGTAGTATTCAATGCATGCACCTATTTCAATTACTTATAATTTCACTGAGGCACAATCAACGGGCTCCTAAAAGTCAACCTCTGCGAGGCATGCTTTTTGAGAAGCTTTGCCATTGTTCCGAATCTTTATGCAAACTCTCCAAAGGAGTCCGAGCAAACCCTACAGCAAACAGTACTGTTGGAACGACTGAAGATCTCTAGACGCTAGCCAATTACATGGTGGCTTAGCCGGTGAGGAGGAGTGATTACTAAGGTAGTCATGCAGTTCGGCCAACTCAAGAATGCCTTGCAAGGACTAAATCATTGTCAAAAGTGGGTCATCGTGTGGCCGATGGTTACGCGGAAAGAAGAAGAAGCGATCACGGACATCATGTTGGCCTGCAAAAAACATCCTGGAAGAATCGAAGAAGAAGAAGTACTGATATCTGTCTGGCCACGAATAGAACGTCGCGAGGTACACATATGGAAAGTCATGGCAGAACTGTGGACTTTAATCGACACCACCTTGGAGGAATTCGCCAGCCCGGACCAGTTATACCTTTTAGCGTCTACCCTGCTGAAAATGGTAGAGTATAGATAGAAGCGAGAGCGCTTAAAAGTTTATTTCATTTTACGACACTCACTGCGGAGTAATGAATGCCAGACACCTATATGAAGCCATCAGGATGCGGCGAGCATCCGGCGCAGATTTGGAAGAACTCCCACCGTCGCCGAGGTCGACGGCTCTTCGGAGAGGAGTGATGTTGGAAGGAGCGTCTGGAGATCGACAATACGGAGCTGGCGGGAAGAAGAGGCGCTCCAGACGGTTTGACCCTCTTAACAGGGCATAAAAGGGGAAGAAAACGGGGAACTTCGAAAAGAAGAGGCTCGTGGGTGTCGAAGACTGGTCATCGAGAATTGATTCAAACATAACCGTGCGAAGGCCTGCTAGAGGGTCAAATCGGGACATTTCCCCCGATTTTGTGCTTTTTCTCGTTGTTTTGTTCGTTGCTGGCCTTGAGGCCGTTGGTTTTCGCTCTGCCATACGGATAAAATTTCTTGTTTTCAATCTGTTCGCGTGCCCAGTTATGGAGGTTAAAACCTCGATATACCACTAGACACCAGCCTTCAGGTACAGTACAACTTTAGTCTCCTTCCCGTAGCTTGCCATATTTTTATTTAGAATTTTTCTTACTCAAGCCACCGGCTCTTAGCAAACCCAACCCACGTCAGACACAAACGCATTAAACACCAGAAAAGCGGAATTTGATACTACTAAGAATGTTATGATTCAACACTAATTTTGTGGAACAAACTCGAGTTTACGGATCCGAAATAATGAATTTCGAATTTTTGGGTAGGGTTCATGGCGCGTTCGAAACCAAGAGTTATAGTTTTATTCCAAAGATTTCGCGAGTCGGGAACAGAAAACACCCATTAGAAAGAGGAGAAATAACTGCATCGAACGACAACCGATATGCTCGTTGTCTCATGTTTTACAAAGATAGTGGGCCAAGCATAGAAATGGGTAGCATCTAATAAAATTCTGTAGAAGAATTATGATGAACGTTTTCGAAAGGTTAGAAAAGAAGATGAATCTCTGGAGGATATGAAAAAAACTTCCTAAGGTGTGATAGCACTTTGCCTGGATTTCTAAATAATGACAAAAGTATAAAAACTGAGCTTTCCGAGATTTTGAAGGATCTCGAACATTGCAAAAATTGGAAAAAAAAACTCCAATTTTTCGAAAAAATCGTAAGGATCAAGAGAATGTTGAGGAGATAAACGTATGCAAATAAGGATGTGTTAGGAACTTTAATGAGGATTAGAATCCTTCAAAGTTAATGTCAAATAGGTTTTCCAATGAGAGAGATATTTTTGCTGACTTTTTCATAAATTCAGGTGTGAGCTACAAATGTGAAACTTGCAGTCTAATGTATACTCGATAAATTTATTTTAGAAATTTTTTAAGCAGACTGAGCTAGTCCGAAGTTTGCTTGCGACTAATTCATTCTTTCCATCTTGGGTGCTGAAGATTTTCAAAAAATTTAGAATCAAGGGGGCGCGTAGAACCGCGCAATACCTTCTACTACTCCATTCCTGGATGATGTGCAGACTTGACATGTAGTCGAGATGAAATGTTCTGAAAAGTTTATTGGTTGTCGTTTTATCGCATATTGCAATGAAGGCATTTGTGTATGTGCGTGTGTTTGTGTGTGTAACAAAAATGTATAGAAACGTAGAACAAGAAGGCCCAGCACTGTCGTTCCCGCTATTCTCTTCATTTTCGTCGTCTCCATCATCCTCTTCTTCATCGTTATCATCATCCTCTTCTTATCTTCTCTCTATGGTCACAGTTCTGTCACCTGGTATCTCTTCGTAGTCATCCAATTCTAAATCTTTTCCAGATCGGCTAAGTTTTACGCCGTTCCAAATTCTACAGGGTGCGTCAAAAGTATGGGAGCCTAGTACTTTATCAACAAAATGAGAAGGGAAGTATCTAGAAACAAAAAATTTGGCGCATAGATAAATCAAACAATCACAGTTACACCACAGTTTTTGAATTTCAAAATTTCCTCTTTTGGCTTCCACGCGGCCCTACAAAATCTTGGTAAGTCCACCTGTCATCGCACGCAGGTAGTCGTAATGAAATTCGCCCCACACCTTCACAATAATTGTTTCTTTTACCTTGTAAGATGTGCAGCGTGATAGAGGAAGCTTTTATCTATAGCGTACTTGCAAAAGAAAGTTTTGCATTGCTTAGGAATAAAAATATTGAATTTTTAATCCGAGGCATGTGCGGTTCGCATACCGAAAATTTGGCTACATTTGCGCGCAGGAAAGAGGAAAATTATCATTTGAAAAGTATAAAGTGTTTCCTTGACCGATTCACTATTTTCTTATTTATAAGACGTATGCAAAGAATTTATCCCTGGTCTTAGTGTCTCTTGCGTTTCTATAGCTTTTGAATTTGTTCCAAAGACAGATGGCCACTGGCACGTAGGTAACATTCGCAAACTTTTATTCTCCGTTTATGCAAGAACAGCTCCAGGCAAAGGCAAAGCTACGATTCAATAGCGCAAAGCCTCTTCTATATGGTGTGCATGAAGTATTGTTGAATGTTAACAGCATCTCTAACTATAGCAAAAATTGTAAATACTGGAAATTCTGATTTTTTCGCTCTGCAAAAGTAGTCGTTTGATAATTTCTAATCTTACAAAAGCATATGGCATCCATTTCCAGCCAAGTGAAGTGTATTTGGTAGAGGATGACTGCAGCATCATTTGGCATAAAACTCAAATCAAAACTATCAGTATCTTTGTAATTGCAGTACTGCTGTAACGGGGGTTGTCTAGAGGTATTGACGGTTTGAACTGGATCGATCAATAAAGACACGGTCAGAATAAAGATATTCATCTCTATGGCAACAATGAACAAGAATAACTTGAACAACTTGGACAACTTGAACACTCAACAACGAATATGGGTCCTTCTGACCCGATTTGGCCCGCTCAGCAGGGTTCTCTAGCTTCTACCTATCTAAGGGGGGAGGCCCACCTGTCTTCGATGGCTCGTTTAAACTCCCTGGAGAGCTCTCTTCACGCTTTGCCTGCTCCCCCCTATTCACCGGTATTTATAGCCTGCTGAAGGGGTCAGCGCGGGCTTTTCTTTCCGCCACTGAAGATCGGTAGGTCGGTGATCCGCGCCATCCGACACTGCAAATTTAGGCTCCCAGACTTTTGACGCACCCTGTATATGATTGATCTGCGTTGCATATGTGATAATAACTAGTTTGTAAATTTATTTACTTTGCAGGTTTGAACATCCTTTTCATTTCCCGCATTCATTCGGGGTTCCTAGCCGTTTTTTCCTTTCCTAGAAAGCGCGCCTTTATATGTCCATAAGCGGAACATTGCTTGTTATGCCTTATGTAGCGTACTACCTGCACCTCTGGTGTGGACTACTGTAAAACTAATCAGTCATGGAATGCGAATTATGCTAACAAAGCGCAATATTTCCATGCCTGCACTTGTTGCACAGTTTTTTTTAGTGCTCTTAGCAGCTCGT